ACCCTCCACTTCCACTTGATATAAATAGGCCTTTTTACAGTTTTCAGATGCTGTTCCCAGAAAATTATTCCAAGCTCTCCTGCAAAACACATCACTCTTTGTTGCCCTCTGGAATGTTAATAAATAATGGCAAGGGTTTTTTTTTTTCCTTCTTCTTTAAAGCAGTCGAGCAAATTATTGGCTCAAAACAATTATTCCCCCTTTTCCAAAAAAAGGGGAGGGAAAGACGCTGACCTTTTGTAATTAAGTACCCTAAGAATGCATCATTGCTTACCCTTGATATTACCAACTATGAAATAGATACTTTGGGAACTCTGATCAGCAAGTCCTGTTATTTCAGTCCACTTGGAGGTAAGTGTTACGTATGCAGCACGTTATTGAGAACCCCCTAAAAGCAAAATAACGACACAAGTTTTATGCCACACAGCTTTCTTTGGAGAGCTGCTCCTATTCCAGGCCAAGCGCACACAATACTAGACAAAGGCAGATTCAGCACTAGAGTAACAAAGCTTCTGCAGGAAACTGTATCATGCAACTTGAATATATTATGCTTACTTTTGGAATATATTCCATTTCTGAGAGCCCTGGGAGGCAGAAGGGCTGAGCACCATGCCCAGCACTTAATCATGAAGAATTCCTGAGTGACCCCCTCCTAGCTTCAAAGATTTGGCCTCCATGTTTTCATACACAGTCATGAGGACTAGAGGCTTGTTTTACAAAAATGAAGGTGGCAAATGCAATGTTACCGAAATGACTGAGCACAGTCTCCTCTCTCCCTTAGGAAGCACACATCACTTCCACAATAACGTTTTATGTACTTATTGACTTTTGGTGTGCGCAAGAAAATGAAGCCATCCCTGTCGTTGTGGCCAAGTATCTTGTTTTACAGAGGAAAGCCCTCTGTTTGGAAGAGCTGGTAGGGAACAGTCCTCTATTCGAAAAGGTGTCCAGTCTACATCTGATTTTACTTCAAAGAACTATAAGGAAGAGGCACATGGACCTTGGGCACGGGCCCAATTCAAGGTGTTGGTGATGACCTATAAAGCCCTAAACGGCTTGGGTCCTAGTTACCTGAAGGAGCGCTTACATCCATATTTGCCCAGTCACCCCCTGAGATCGGCGGGAGAGGCCCTCCTCCGGGAACCCTCCATGAAGGAAATTAGGAGGGTGAGTACTCGGAGGAGGGCTTTCTCAGCAGTGGCGCCTAAGTTATGGAATGCGCTCCCCAGAGAGGTCCGCCTGGCACCGTCGTTATTTGCTTTTCAGCGCCAGGCAAAGACCTTTTTATTTAAGCAACATTTTAAATGCTAATACAACTGAATTTTATCTGGCCAGGGCGGCTTATTTTATAATGCATGTTTTAAATTATGATCATTTTATATGGATATTTTAACTTATTGTTTTATCTAGTGTTGTAAGCCGTCCCGAGGCTTCGGCGAATGGGGCGGCATAAAAATGTTTTAATAAATACATACATACATACACACACACACACACACACACACACACACATATATATATGCATACCCAAATGTCATCTTTTCAGTGCCAGGTTAAGGCATTCCTCTGTGATGGGGCATTTTAAGTTAGTTTTATTATTTATTGATTTATCTTGTTTGTACCCTGTTTTAAATGCTTGAATCATAAAGGTTTTCCATTAATCCTGAGTCTCGCAAAGAGCTTCCACTGTTGGGCAGAACACAATTGTAATGAATGAGATGAACCAATGACTGAATGAATGGTAGTAACCATTCAAAACACAACTTTGGCTTAAGGCTATTTGGTCATACCCAAAGGTAGTCAAGACATCTTGTGGCCTGAAGTAAAGAACATGTGAACAGGATTATACTATTAATTCTCCATGGAATAATTCTGTGAACCTCCATGGAGAACCAGACAAAAATGGCTTCTCAAATAAGGACAAGTTATTCAGAATTTCCAAGCATCCTTGAAGTGCAACCTCTTTGAACATTTCAGCTCAACAACAACAACAGAGATACAACCTTCAGATATTACCATACTATCTTTAATTACAGATTAAAGTATTGATCACAGGTACACAAAATTTCTCAGGGCCAGCCACTAGAAAAGCCTTAATTGCATGCACATTCTAGTATTTTGAAAATTATGCAGAACTGTAGGTGGGAACCAAACAAGCAAAGCACGAAACATCTTCCTTTTTGCTAGAATTTCTGATTCTAGCATAGTTTGGATTTACAGAGCAACTGAGACTTTGCCAAGCACCAACTGAAACATCATCCATTCATTGTGCTTTCTAGCTCCTTGAAACCCTCTGCCTAGTTTTCACAGTCCGGCCAGGCTAATGAAACGCAGCTGCCATGAAATAATGGGCACTACATGAAAACCTTCCAGTGGGTTCTATACAATGTGTGTCCCTACTTCGAGGAGTCCCACTGAAACAAATGGGGCTTAAATTAGCTTAACATTTAATGCAGCCCAGTTGGGAAGAGACACCCCGGTCCTCATTTCAGCAGTCGCTTTGCAGCACACACACTCAGCATTACAGTATACTCAGCTCCCAGTTGTCTGCTGTGCATTCATTTGTCCTGCAAGGAAGGCTGCCCTCCATTTATCATCTCCCAAATGTGCAACAATGTGTTGGATTAAAGATATACTAGAAAAACTCATTGGTCCTCAACCCTCTTACTGGCGGTTCAAAAGATGCCTCAGCCACTGCACCAGGAGAGATGCAAACAGGTTTACCACCTATGGACTGGAAATGAGAGGCATCCTTTGCTCAGAGAGTCAACATTTTGGTACCTGAGATTAAGAGTTCTAACAAATGGCACAACACTAGCAACTCAGCAAGCAAGAAATCCCCACTGGGCCAAACAACTGGAGAGAGACAGGTTTGCTCCTAGGAAGAGGGACCGAAGAACAGAGGGTGCCCGTGGCAGTGGGGTGGCTGCTGCACACGCCCACGCCTGGCCCATGGTGCATCGTGGGGTGATCCTCAGCACTTCCAAGCTTTTGATCTAGGAAGAGGTGAGAACACTGTCCTTTAAAATCATACCAGTCATAAATAATGTGGATTTAATGGAAAGAGATCAGATTCCTGGAATTCAGAACATTTCTAGCAGAAATGAAATAAACAGTCCAGTCATACAGTTATTTCACTGAAGGTAAGGTTTCCTTCACATTTACTTCCGAACAGCCAGTTCCTGATCACTGCCCCCCAAAATTGGGAATCTGTGAAAATAATGCCGTTCATAACAAACAGAAAGCATGTATTCTCCAAAAATGTATAAAATGATCACACATTCCCAGACTTGTGTCCACATCCAGAATTATGATCACCTGTGGACCAGGGAAGTAAAAGGAGCCAAACCATATTTTTCACTTTCCTAATGAGGGAAAGATACCTTTGGGAAAATACACACTTCACCCCTTTCAGCAGATTGAATAAAACAGGTCACCAAGAAGGAGCGGAGCAAGCCAAGCCAAGCCAAGCCAAGCCAAACCTCGAAGGGCAGTTCAGAGAGTTTCAGCAAGCTTGAGCAGCCCTGGTTCTCCCATCCTGACCCCAACCAATATACAGCAGCACATCAAGTGGATCACTTGCTTTTGCAACAGGAGATACGAAAAACAAGTTTGCTCAACCACTGTAGGAGAAATTTGTTTCGGTTCATTTTTTAAAATAGGAACTACACTGTTTGCACTTTCTAGACTGACTGCACATGCACTCAGACACAATCTGCATTTCAAGTTGATGCATTTCCAAGCTTGCAATGTGATTAACAGACCCCCACCCCCAAATGTATTTGACAGTATGTGCACCTTTGAAAAAAACATGCATTGAAATGCTCAGTTTTGAAAATGCACACATGGGAGAAGAATGCATATATTTCAATGATGTGCACCACTGATGCATACATTTAGGAAACTATGCACAGATGTTCATGTTGCAAGAATAAAAACTGAGTTTGCAGTCTGATACGGACTCGTAATGAGCTTTAAGAGGGAATTCTGGCAGTTCAGTGACTGAATTTTGGCTGGTTCACCCATCTTTCCTCAGAGGTTAGTAATATTCCATTAGGAGCTGGATTAGGGAAGAGAGGGGCAAGAAAAGGCCTGAATCTGCCTTTAGGAAGAGAGATCCAGTTCCCATTGGTATAGATTTGCCATTCCCCCTTTTCTCCCCACCACCACCTTACTTAGAGTACTTGAGGGACACCCAGTCGCAAGCCTTCCTGGGGAACCCTTCCTCCAAAGGGCAGCTGCTAGTAAGGGTTAGTCTGCAGACTCAGCAAGTAAGTGGAGGCAGTGACATGCTCCCACCAGTAGCAATGTGGCTACTAATAGCAGTATGAGGAGGAGGATGTGGAGTGGAAGGAACTTGCTTCCTGCTCCTTCCTGCAGCCCAAGTGCCTCTAGCCAAGCGCAATTTGTAGTGAGATCCCCTACAAATGCAGCAGAGGGACAGTGGAGTTCCTCTGCTTTTCTTGCATGACCCCGACACAGGTCTATCTCTCGAGCTGCAGCCACCATTTCCTCAGTAGGGATTAAGAAGTCAGCAAAGCCAGAGCCCATAAAAGTTCTCTGTGTTCCACCTGAAAGCTCAGTTCAACTCTGGCCTGATCAGAACACATGCTTTTGTCTTGTCTTTTCATGTGAGGTGTACTTAGGTGCATCTTCCAAAGTATATAACCTTCTCTCATTGATTAGATTATCTTTGAGTGTACTCTTAAAAGGAGTATGCTTTCCTTGTATTATTTGACATGTACACCCTCACCCCCTGCATTGAGAGCTGCACTGCATGTGTGGAAAGGTATAAACTTTGGCTACAGATTGCAGGAGCTGCAAACAGGATAAATTCTGGCCATTAATGAACTGAAGCAAATGTCTTATACATCCATATTTCTTGGGTGGCTGTTGGAAAAGGTAATAATATATTGGGATTAAGAGACTGGCAGTCTAATAGGAAATTGAAGAAGCATGGCATCCTAAAATGCTGTAACAGGGGGAAAAATAAGACTTACTTCATTCGCTGGAGGAATGGTAAGCTTTGGTAATTTGTTCTTCACTCCTGCTCCGGCAGTCTTTCCTTCCAGCAGATTTCCAAAGGTTTGGTTTCCATATACACCTTCAATTTCTGCTGGTGGCTTCAGTTCAGGTGAGTCATTTGGAACCTGGTCCTGGCCATCCATTGGCCGAACATACGCAGTGGGCTTTTGCTGGGTCATGCTACTCTTACAGTGAAGTCCTGGAGGAAAGTTTGGTGCTGAAAGACTGTTGTTTGCTGACAATAAAGATGTGGAAGGGAGTGGAGATCCCGGTCCATGGCCCAGAAACTCAAGATCCACTGGAGACTTCGAATGGTTGCTTTCTTTATACGAGTGCTCTGCAACGGTTGCCTTTGAATGGTTGTGTCTTCTCGAGTGTGAGGACGACGGCGGCGTGTTGGCTTCCTCGCCTCCTCCGGTTTTATGCGCATCACCCTGACAGGCAAAAAGGTCCTCGTACCTGCCTTGCGGCGGCTCATGAGAAGAGCTGTGTTTTGTCCGACTTTGCTGACTACCAGTTTGACTTGGCTGGCCACTGCTGGAGCCATGATTGCCACGGGACCAATCAGTCCTGGATTTCCTGCTGCTTTGATGACTGTGCAGCAAACTGGAACTGGTTGATATGGAAGTAGGGGGAGGCATGGATGCTGAGGAGTGCCCCGTGACCTGGTGGGGTGGGATCATCCGGTTTCTTTGTTCTGGGAAAAAGCTCTGCTCAGTTTTATCTACTGGGGTCTGTGGCACTGAGTTCTTTGGGATGCCTACAAGGTGACTCTGGTTAGAATGGTTGGTCAGCAAATCCTTCATCTCATCATAATTCCCCAATGTATTTTGGACACGGTTGGCCAGGGCATCACCTTTGTTAGTCTAAAAAATAAAGAGAAGATTAGGTTAAGAGAGAAAACATCCCAGATAGGAGTAGCAGTGTGGCCGGACAGAAAAAATGCTTGGAATATGAGTGTTCTCCACTCATGATGTCTGGATATATGTGGAGGAGAGCTCTGTGGCCTTCATAGTCTCCCTCAGCTCTGAACTCAGTTTATCAAATTTATGCCAACCTGGTCTGCCTATTTATGCCAATAGTATTGCACTGCCATACTAGTTGCTGAACACGGGCAGCCATCCTTGGTGCATGGCCAGAAACCTATTCCTGTAACCCCTCACTTTTAATGTGATCGAGGTGTCTTGACTAGCACTTTTAAAAACGGTGATATAATTTGCAGAACAAGAAGGGTTTGGCTTGAATCTCAAGCATCCAAGTGATCTGTCAATTTCCAACTCTGAAAAAGCCAGGCCTGCTCTGAGGGTGTGCAATGTCCTATTTTGTCCAGCTATAGGTTCAAGTACCTCTGTGTTCAGAGATACAGGCGGGCCTTTGAGTTGTCAACCTAGACATGAGAAAAGTGTGTGGAAGACCAGTGCAAAAACTCAAGCTTGGGAGCCAAATTTAGCCCTCCCAGGGGGCAAATCTGGCCTCATAGATTTGCCCCTTAAGACTTCCCCAGAGGACCATGCTCCTGTCCCTCAAGCACTGATCATTTGGGGGGTTTCTGACTTTTGTGACATCTCTCCCCTATTCTAAAACTGAAGCCTTGGTTACTTGCAGTAAGAGCTTTGAGCTAAAATATGCAGATATTCTGGGCCTGCCCCCACCCCCAAATGCAGCCTCCAAGAGCTTCTTCAAAATGGAATTCAGCCCTGGGAATACACAGGTTCTGCACCTCCAGAGTACATGCTTGCATTTCGGGCAACAGGCAAACTATTCTGCAAGAAGATGGAGACAAAACTAATGGCTGACTGTTTCATTACATTGTGAGAAATAGAACTTGAAAGGGCTTTTCAATTGTTTATTTTTCTCCCCTGCATGGGTCGTTGTAACATGGTTTTGTAGGGTCTCTGGCTATTGGCCAGCTTGGTAGTTTGACAGCTATCTTCTAAAGGAGCACTTAAGAAAATAATTTTTTTCCTCCCAAAGAAAGATATACAGTTGTTGGCTGTGCTTGTTAAGATCTGTTCTACTCTGCTTTCTGGAACTGTGCAGCATGTGTTTTGCAAATCAATGATGCACAGTTATTTGCTGTAAAGTGCTGCAATTATTAAGCACATTCTGACTCATTGTTGACATTATGTTTTCATCTTTTCAGTTTTCTGCTTTACATCTCAGGCTGTTTCTACTCCATCTGGCCCCCTCCTCTCCAAACATGCATTTAAAATAGTGTGCACACAGATAACCTTTTAATATGAGTTCACTACTCAATTAATGGTCAAAGTCTGCATTTGAGCAATAGCTATAGTTAATCCCCAATGGAGAGGTGAGAATCTACTGGGGAAACCTTCAGAATACCTGTAAAGAAATGCTGGAGAAGGTGAGAATAGCCTGCGGAAGCCTAATTTATTTATTTATATTTATTGATACACATATGTATAGGCTGCCTATAACTGCTGAGGTCTTCCTAGGTGGCTTACAATACATTAAGCATATTAAAACATAATGATAACACAATGGTAAGACAAACTCTTCAATAAATGCATTTTTCAGCTATGATTGCTATTAAGGTAATTTAGCTTTTTCTCTTTTAAATGAAAAACATTAACTATTCATTTGATCACCTTTCCATTTTTGCTTCCAGCTTTCAGCACTTATATGAAATAACAGGAATGGGCAGACATTGTACAATCCAATCCATTTATGTTTTGCAGATTGTCGGGCCCCTTTTATTCAATCATCAGTTCACTGATGGATTCAGATTTTGCACAAACACTCTTCTACACATTTGCACAAACTTGCTCAAATTCAGACTGCCATAAGTGTGCAAATCCTTTGAGGCAAATAATGCAAACTAAATAAATGCAAACACATAAACCAAAAGTCTGCAAAATCCCCAGAATTTGCATGACTACAGAAAAGCCAGTCTGGTGTGGAATCCGTAGTTCAGAGTTTTAGGAATTCAAACTCATTCAAGTCTTTTGCAACTTTTCCACATCCATATGAGATCACAATCCCATATTATTTCCTAACTAAAATCTGCACTGCTGGATCAGGGCAAGGGTGTCCCAACTAGGCATGAGACTGTGAGGAGGCAGATTGTAACACGGAGTTCACTGCCTGTTTGGGGTCAGGCAAGGCAAGGCAAGGTAGGAGCCACATCAGCACCTTGGAGAGCACCATGTAAGAAGAGCAGGTTGGAGTATCCTCCCCTGGGGAGCTGTTGTCATAGCAAAATACTATGGCCGGTCTAAGAAGGCCAGTAGAACCTGCCTTTTGGCGACTTTGTCCCTGTGGTTCTTACACAGCCAGAGTCTGTTTTGGCAATCTCATGTTCCTTCATGGCTGAGAGACAGGAGAAATGGCAGGGAGTCCTCCTCAGAGTCAGATAATGGGAGAGTAGCGTCCTCGGACTGAAGAGGTATGGAAGGGGAGCTTGCTGGCTCCATTTGAACTGGGACAACCCGTCTGAATCTCAGCCGTCTTCAAGATAATGTGAAGACTCAGAGTTCAAAGCGAGTTCCCAAGGGCCAATCCACTTCTACCTCCAGTTTCTTGCACTGGCTAGCCAGTTCTTCTGGAAAGCTCATCAGCTGGGCCTGAAGACTATAGTCCTTCCTTGCCATTGATCTCAAGCAATGAGTATTTAGGGTCATGCACCCTCTGAACAGGGTACAAAATAGGGCTGCTTGTCTGCTGGCAAGGACTGGCAGACAAGAACACATAACCCCAGTCCTTTGTCATATTCACCGGTAACCAGTTGAAGTCCAGGCCTGCTTTAACGTGCTCACATTGCCATATAAAGCCTTAAATGGTTCAGGACATGGATATCTGGAGGAATGTCTCCTCCCATATATGCCTACATGGAACTTAAGATAATCTACTGTGATTCTTTAAAAGATGCAAGGAAGGCGGAAATGACAAGGGCTTTTCAGCTGTGGCACCCTAACTGTGGAGTCATCTCCCCAGAGAGGTGTACTTGGTGCTGATCCTTTACACCTTCTGGTGCCAGGCTAACATCTTTTTGTTTCCCCGGTGTTTTAACTGTTAAATATGGTTATAACATTTTATACAGGTTTCTATTCATATTGTCATTGGTAGTACTGTAGAATAATTATCATTTCTCTGACTTTTATTGTTTATTAGTATTACTTATGGGTTAATTGTGGTTTGTTATGTATTTATGCATTTAACTGGAGTTTTTACCTTGATTGCTGGATGCTGTGTTGTTTTGCTGTTTTATTCTTTCTTGTAAGATGTCCTGAGACATCAAACTGGTGGATGGGTTATAAAAGATTTACATAAATAAATTTAACTGTTCTGGTACTGTTGGTATCTCAGTCGATACCAAACTTATTTACATTCTGTTATGCTTTTCCATGGTTTTTCTTTTCGCTGTACTCCATTCAGAGAGCCTGTGGCTGATTGAAGGGTATATAAAAGTTCTAGTACATAAATAAGGTACATTTTATTATTATAGTGCCATGTCGCAAGAAAGGTGCCAAAGGTGCCCTGAATGGTTAAATGATTGTGCTAGATGGATCTTGCTTTCATGACTTCCGCCTGCTTTCTTTGTCCATCTAAGAGCAGCGGCAACATCTCAAGGGGGCAATTCAGGACACATGGTGATCCTTTGACTAAACGGAGCCCACAGCTGATAGGCCAAGGGATCCCCAAACCATAATCTCCTGCAAGAGATGATCTCATTCCTGACTGGCCAGATAAAAAGGGAGGTAACAGCAGCTGTATATTTGTATAATTGCAAGAAGACTGCCAGGAGTAGAAAAGAAAATGTATCTTGGAGAGTGCAGTATACCCCCAATTTTCATCCAGAGGAGAAAGGAAGTTTTGTAGCAAAGTCTTGGCTCATTTAAGGGCTATCATTGATCTGCTTCTTCCCAACTGTGATTATAAGTGATGCTTAAATTAACGTATGGGGGAGCAGTTGTCAGCATTTCTATCAATGCAACTGTAATTGACAAGGCAGGGTTAAATTTATTCAAAGCTAGCATCTCTCTGTAAGTTCTGCAAAAATCTTCTCCACTAATCAACTTGTCAAGAAGCACAAGGTCTTCCGGGAATTGCAAGCACTGTTTTTCGCTAGAATCACGTAAAGCAGGCCTCTGGAAATGTATATAACTGCTGGGGGTATCTATACTTGAAATGTCTTTGAGGGGACTGCCTAGGAGCAGGAAGTCCCTCTGGAATACCAAGAGAGCACATGATCTTTGAGGGATGCGTCAGAGAGGTGCAAAGGTGGGGGTGATGCTTAGAGATAACTTGATAAACAAAAGTTTAGCAAAGAGATCCCCAAGGGCAAGGCCTGCCTGAACCTGCACCACTAACTCATACAATAAAAAATGAAAAAATAAAACATCTAATCAGACTTGCTGACAGGCCATATGGCACATAGAGGTGAGTCTGGGGTATCGATTTATCATCTCATACTGACTTCTCAAGTCCCTTTTGGCTGAAGTTCATTGTTTCCCACAGCCAAACAACAATGGCCAGCACACATGATGCTTTACAGAGAGGCCCCAAACAGCCATTACCTAAAATCCCTTTTAAGCAGCTACATATTTTTGTCATTTTTTTTTTACTTTAGAGCAAGTTGATCACTGTCTTAAAGGCCTCATACTAATTATACTAAGGTTCCAGTCCATATCTGTGCTCTAGAACTACTTCTTTAAGGAAAGGAAAGGAAAATAGTGTGTATGGGCTTGTGTTTGCGGGGAGATGTTGCTCCTCAAATGAAATCCAAGGAATGGCTGTCCTGGTCCTGTGACATGATTGGTCTACTCTGTGGAGCAGCAGCCTTAGAGGAGATGAAACCTGCTCCTGCTAGGCACACATTTGCCCTGCAGGCAAAACATGCCCTCTG